CACATCGCGGCCTGTACCTCTTGATCCACAGCCCGATACATTAACTAAAGGGTCATGGCTGCCCAGAAACATCAATGACACATCGCGGTCTGTACCTCTTGATCCACAGCCCGGTACATTAACTAAAGGGTCATGCCTGCTCAGAAACATCAACGACAAATCGCGGCTTGTATCTTTTGATCCACAGCCCGGAATGTTAGCTACAGGGCCATGCCTGCCCAGAAATAAAAACAAAAAAAGAACGGTTGTAATACTATTCTCGTCAGAGTAACCAGATTATTTTATGATGTTTTGAAACAGACTGAATATTTTAGGCTACCCTGTAATTTATTGATTAACTGCCCGTGTTAACCAAAATCATCCACTGCAGTGAACAATGTAAACACACTTATGGAAAATGTAGTGCACACAAGATATGTTCAAGTTCCACACCACAAATGTCTTAGGTTGGAACGTTACTTCTAACATACGGATATCCCTAATTGAAACTGTAGGAGTATAGTAGTCTGTTATCTAAATTGTATCCTACAATGTTTACTACAAACATAACTAAACGTGCTTGCTGGCCCACTAAAATCGATCTGCCAATTTCAGCATAACACAATCTCTTTAGACAATTAAAATTGTTCTAATACAGTTAATGAAATAATAGTCACAACACGATCAATTATGAATCCTGAAGTTATGAAAATATTCAATAGATGGCAGCAATAAAAAATAAATCCAACCATCTCATGAATAACAAAATTGAATCTTTCATTAAATTAAATTTACAAATTCACGAAGAAATTATTGATTTTGCACAGAGAAATAAAATGTTATATACACAAATATTTAACATAATATTTTCAGCGTGTAAAACTTCCTAGTTTCTGATAGTTTGCTGGGATTGAGAATATAATTATTCTTTAGTAACTTCGTATGTGAAAAGAACGCCACTAAAGTATGTGTAAGAACTTAATGAATAATTCATCATTTATAGGCTTAATGCCAAAAACATTTAATGCCATCAAAATAAATAAGAATGAGTGTAAGCCTACTTGTGCAAACACTAACAAGTAATTTCATAATGTTATAAAGTATTAAGCCTTACTCTGTTAAAATGATAAAAGTAGCTAAGGAAGCTACAACAACGCTCCTCTCACGCGAATATCTTATTTATTAAAGTATTTTACTTCGAAAAATACATAACTAATTCTGAACCGTAAGTCAATAGATCAAGCTGAACGTTTATAAAAGATGTCTGGCTACACTGAATACTGTGGGAAGTATACGTCACTCGTCTGGGTTGTTGAAATGTGAAATGGTCATAAATTTGAAAAATTATTATGCTTTGCTTTATGTATCTTTTAAAAAATATATCGCTTCATTGGTGGTGAGCGAAACAAAGCGTTTTTCTGATGTTTCAATAGTTATGTTCACGGAAATAAAACTCGTAAACCGTGTTGAATTTAAAAAAAAATACACACGTATCTATTCACTATCAAGTAAAACGAACTGACGTCATTACCCAAAAGGTAACCTAAAACAACAGGATATAGGCTTAAAAAGGTATGCATCCCCATGACTAACGTTCTCTGCTTTATATATATATTTAAATTTCTCAATACACATCGTTTGTGTTCATAATTGTATGAAATTAATTGCCACATATATATCTTGACAATCGGGATATAATTGTGCTATTTTTTGTGCAAGGTATAATTCAACTTTATTTCGTTAGAGTTAGGCCTACTTCAATGTTTACCAGATTAATAACACCGTAACTTAGACCTTTACTGTTACACTGTCGATATAGACACGTACAAAGCTCTCGTTAGGTCTTAATGTTAAAATCAATTTTATTCACTTACAGCGTTTCCAAAGTGACCAGAAATTAATTCATTATTTAGATGGTTATTAATAACGTTTAACTATTTATTTCTGTTATATCGCTGTATGAAAAAAACAAACAAAAGACGCGTTTATTTAACAAATTAATTCCATATTGAGAGGGAAGAACGAACGTTTTAAAAATTCATTACGACTTAAATTAATACTAACTGTTTAAAGACAACACATGGCAAAAAAGGACAAGATACGAAAATACTTTTAAGCCTTTTGATTCAACAAAATAAATCACATTTTCATATGCAGATTGATATAAGAACATCTGTACTTTATGTTCATTTATAAATATATGTATCCACACAAACACAATATATCAAATATTTAGTAGACGCTCTCACTCTCACAGTTTAGTTAGTAATAGGTTCACAATAGGTGAATAACAGTAGAAGGAAGATCAAACTGACCAGTTAATCCTGTTCACATTAGGTGAATAACAGTAAAATAAAGAACAAACTGACCAGTTAATTCTGTTCACATTAGGTGAATAACAGTAAAATAAAGAACAAACTGACCAGTTAATTCTGTTCACATTAGGTGAATAACAGTAAAATAAAGAACAAACTGACCAGTTAATTCTGTTCACATTAGGCAAATAACAGTAAAATAAAGAACAAACTGACCAATTAATTCTGTTTACAATAGAACAGAACAAACAAACACGATATGGAGTGAGATTCGTCCTTTTTTTTTTTTTTTTTTTTTTGTAAACACTGTTTTAATCATCCAGTCTGCTCTGCAATGTTTAAAAAGTAATACATTTTTATTCATACGACTTCCCAAACTGTTAGTACATATTTCTGCACCTACAATTACGGGTTCGAGATGGACAATAGGTACATTTTCTTGAATTTCTCTAATCTTGTCCATTATGAACTATTTCCACCCAAAACCTAGCTATGTTCATCCCTGGCCAATTAGTCGTATAATTCGTTAGGGCAGTCTTGATCAATTTCTTTATGTGGAGATAAAGTTAGATGTCCCCGTTTTCTGTGAATGAGACTCATCTGATGACGTGGATTTCTGAGAAGGTTCAACACAGCCTACTTTGGCATATCACTGTAATTGTTTTAGTCTAAGCTAAAGTAGTGATTTTTTTGGTGATTAATTTTAAGTAATTCAGTTTTTATAGTTTTGACTTTCTTGTTTCAATACTTTGTATAGCAATAAAATTTTCTATATTACTATAGCTAGCTAGGTGACGTATATATATATATATTATTTTTATTATACTTGTTATACTTTTTATTAGCTACATTCTTTCGCGCCAGCAATAGTAAGCATGGGTCACGCATATATCCGATTCGATTTTATTACTCATCAAGACCTCTACCAACCTCCCCGCAAGTCCAATTATATGCTCAAATAGCGCATCGTCCGTTGTGTGTGTGTGTGTGTGTGTGTGTGTGTGTGTGTGTGTGTGTAGTGTGTGTATATATATATATATATATATATATATATATATATATATATACTACACACACTACTACTACTACTACTACTACTATAATTACTTACGT